CTAGCTACTCAGGGGGCTGAGGTTGGAGGATGGCCTGAGTCCAGAAGGTCGAGACTGCGGTGAGCTGTGACCATACCACTGCATAACTCAAAAAAAGAAAGAAAAAATAATGACATTATGATCAAAATTCTCCCTTCAATGAATTGTTCTGCAGGCCAGTGCCTGGCCCAGAATAAGCACTTAGGGCATAAACTTTCAGCACCACGAGTATACTCTTCTACGTCTCTTAACAAGAATTCTGATTCCTGTTTCTCAGAGACATAACCTGAGGTTTAGGTTGCAGAAGCCAATTTGGGTCCCACACAAAAGAAGTGGCAACATTTGAGCCCAGGTGTGTTTGATGTCAGAAACTAAGACCTCGAAGTGTTGTTGCCAGGTGCTGGAAGGTGGTGGTGGCTGGTAGGGCAGTAACAGAGTAGCCCGAGGACACACATGAGGTGCTGGACTGAGCAAGGAGGCAGTGGCTGAGGGCTGTCTTGGAGGGAGCCAGCTCTGGGCTCTGGAGTCCCCTGGAGCTGGCTTCGTGGTCTTGGGAAAGTCGCATCCTTTCTCTGAGCATCTGTTTACTTCTCTGTGCCATTAGGAGAATGATCCTAGGTGGGATTCCACTGAGCATTTATTGAACACTTACTGTGTGCTTGGCACCGTGTTAAGACTTTCACGGGCATTACTTCATCGATCCTTGCAAAAGGACTATGATGTATTCTATCAGTATCATTCCATTTTCAAGATAGGGAAATGAGGCCAGAAAGGTTAAGTAACTTGCCCAAAGCCACTCACAATCAGCACAGATGGATCCAGACCTGGGCAGTGGGCTTTCTGAACTCTATTCTTTTTACCTCTGAACCACTGCAGAGAGTGTGCTGAGGTAATGAGCTCTCAGTACCTAGAGATGCCTTTTACTTTAAACCGTCGATCCACGTTCATGAATGAGCTGAGTTCAGCATTTAAAGATAAAATAGATTAAAGTAGAAAACATCAGAGTGCTGGGCTCGGTGGCTCAGCCTGTAATCCCGCACCTTTGGGAGGCTGAGGTGAGTGGATTGCCTGAACCCGCGGGTTTGAGACCCACCTGGGCAGCGAGACCTCATTTCTACAATAAATCAAAAAATCAGCCGGGCGTGGTAGC